TTTAGCCATGAACCGTCATGCATTATTACAACATGCCACTTTCATTCAGGTTTTGTATGAAAATCCGAAATGTGAATTGTTGATTCTGCTTTACTGAATTAATGATATACTCTTGCATCTAAATAGGAGTTTTACGCCCTGTTAAACTACTAGGCTTTCAGTGTCGAAAACAGCATGTGATGTAGGCATGGAAAGCTTCTTTGACCGCCGATATAATTTAAACCTTTTATCAAAGCGAATTTAAACTAATCGGATGCACCTTTTGTATATTTGTATTTGAGCGAATGACAATTGTTATATTATATAAAAGGAGACATTCCAGTTAGTTATATATAGTACAAACCTTTTAAACCATATTGATAGCAGTTTAAAAAATATTATTGCTTTTAGAATAGTTGTTATTGTAGCTATGCTGTTTCCGAACCTGCGGGAAGACAAACATCTGAAGACGCCGGTAAAAAGAATCGATCATCGGATTGACTTTATGGGCTCTTGTTTTTGTTGTAATAAATAAGCCAAAGTACTAACGATCCGAACCTAAAAAAAATTTAGTGAACGACGCTCATAACTTTTCAATCAAATCTGAAATACAACACTTCTTACTTAAATTGGTTCTACCTGTACACGACATTCAGTCAGGCACATTCTTCAGCAACTTCCTTGAGGACCCTGTCACATTCAGTCAACATCAAAATTGTATACGCTTAACTAACTAACTTTTTCTCCTGTCACACCTTGACGAAAAGCCATCGTAAGCCGTTGAATCAAATTTCTCTAAAACGTTGGTATACGCCTAACTATCGTATTCTTTTTTGAGTTTTGGGCGTATACGCAGCGTATTTATAAGGAATTTCACGTATACATAACGTGTTTTTAACTCAATAGAGAACGTTTCGAAAACTAATATACAACGTATATATCATTTGCTTAATGTTCAATGTGTGACAGGGCCATTATGTAAACACCTTATTAATTAGATTGCAGTATTAAAGTTCATCATATTCTTATCACGTTCGACATTTAGTTTATTTTCTAAAGTAATTAAATTCATCATAATTGTCAGCCAAAATCCCTATAATATAACACAAATGTGTTTTTAAATTTATAAATGTCGAAACTGATGTGTTGACGATATTCAAAATTGTAAATTTAGCCAATATGCACATAAATGGTCTATGATGTGCACGCCATTTAGAAGCGAATGCTCTGTATTTTGATGACGTACTCTAGTACCAATGGATACCAAGAACTTAATTCCTGTCAAAAACAGTTGTGAGGGAATAACAAGTAATAATCAGAATTATTCCGAGTTAAATTTCTAGACTAAATATGAACAGAGTTTCGACAAACTCCAGGTAATTTAGAAAGAGATTTCAGTGATCAAACTTGTCTGTATGCTACTGGAAACGGGAATTTACAGACTAAATTTTTCCATTCACCATGAAATACAGAATGTGGGCTTTTTGTCATACCCCGAATTAGATATGAATTATAAACCATATTTATGACCCTCACCACATATTGCAGAATCCATTTTTCATGGCATTTTTACGACGGAAAAAGTATAAATCAGGTTTTTTCCGGAAAAGCTTAGTGCCATGGTTTATATCGAAAAGCCATTAAATTGCCTTATTTTATGGGAAATCGTGGGTACTGCAGACAAATTTAATGGGTTTATCAAAATCTCTTGGCGTGATGTGAAGTATCCGTAATAATGTGAAATTATGTTTATAACAAGATATATGAAGGATGTTTTAAATCTGCGATCTATCGCTAAAGAATACTGCTTTAGGCTGTAAACAGTGTCTGACAAAAAATGTATGTTTTCTTCTATTCATGATTTTGGATGCAATCTTCTGGTGGACATGGTTTCGTGAGTGATCCTTAGATACCGAAATAATAATTAATTAATTCACTCATTAAAATATCGCAGCTCACTGAAACGTCTGAGAAGGTGGAACCTGTTAAATAACGAAATCTAGGAACAATTTGATTTTCAATCACCCCTTGAAACTGGCCCCTCATCTGGGAGAATCAACCGTTATATCAAGTCTACTACTTCTGAGTTCTTCATGACATTGTAGAAACTGGTCTTGTCGTCGACTTGAGCCGTCGGAATCCCCGACCAAAGTGATCGCGGTTGCTTGGTGCTCTGACGGGATAGAAATTTCGATCGCCATTCGATGTCAGCTTAACCACACTTAGTCTGCATTTTTACAAATGTATGTCAGGTTCATTTATGTAGTTCATTTGTCATTCTGACATCTTTTGAGACACCTCCACGACACATATAAGTACAGGTATCCTCACGAGTTCTGAACACAACTCACAACTCAGTTGCATGAGATTTGAGTTCAAATCTTATGACTACTATTCTTAATCGGAACCATACACAACTGGTAATCACCATGGTGTGAGGGCTTCGACTAGCAACGTGTCTCATCAAGAGTTCATTGCCCTTTCTATAAGTCTAATATCGTGTATAATTTTTCATCATTACGAATCGTCTAAATTTGTCTCAGCATGTGGGCGATAATCATACGTGTTTGAAATAACAAATATATAAATGTGATTGCCTGTGGCCATAACTTTCTAACATGAATGACTGATGTCTATTTTTAGAAGGCTTTGAAAGAAAAATCTGACAAATTGAAAGGTAGTTTATGTGCACTTCTATATGGGCTATCTTTCATTTGTAATTAACATATCAAATAAACAATATTAGCTATGTAGACTCTCTGAAATAGATGTAGAGTTGGCAGTCAATATCACAATGAATTAGAGAGTTTCGGAAAAGCGAGCATGACATGCCTTGCTAGAAACACGAGACAATTTTATAAGTAAAGCTCAAGTTCAACTGTTTCTGATATTTATACATGTACTACATTGATTCAATCTACTTCAACATCAAATTCATCGAGTACAAACAAACCATTTCAATATCGATGAATGCAAATGCATCCCCATCTTTGATTGATTATGAATATACCATATAAACAATATTAGCTATGTTGACTCTCTGAAATGGATGTAGAGTTGACAAAGGCACAATTGATGAAGGCCAAAAGCATCTCCATATTTATCTGTCAATCGGATTTAAAATCGTATGACTGAAATGATACGGTGTAAACTCTGATAAAAGCTGACTCGGTATATATAAATGGAAAAATATTCGACCGATATGTTATCTGATAGTGACTTAATACAATCGCCGGTTTACATAAGTATAAGCGGATAATGACCTCGAACGATCTCGAATCGTGGTGGCATCTCTACTCCCACATTATGTAAAAGAAATTCGGGATACAGAAAGCCATTTCCAGCAGTAATCGACAATAATAATTTGCGCTCCACAATTTTTTTTATCATTATTGTACGCTCAAATAATCCTGAAATGATCATTCCGAAATTGCTAACCAGAGGATCTAGGGTTCGGCAATAGGTTCTGGATTATCCACTCCGTTTCTCTCTGTTAATGATGTAAGTTGAGGGTGTTGATAAGACAAAAACATGTTTTGGATAAGACAAAATGAGAGGCCATATGAGCTACAAGCTGAGCACAATAAAAATCCCTTGCAATCCTCGCAAAAATCTGGTGCTAAAAGGTAGAAGAGGAAACCTATTTTATTTGAACTCCTTGAATGTCCTACTATTTATATATAACTTTAAACCGTCGTTGATCTGTTATACTGACATACTTTCATCATCCGTAATCGTAATCTTAATGTGAAGTTAAGCCAAAAAAATAATAGTTTCTCGTTTTTATTATAAAAATGTCTGACGGCAAATCCTTAAAGCTCATAACTTATTTTCAGAAATAAAAACGTCTATACGAAATATACTTATAATCTAGGTCGTTGCACATTTAAGTGTCACCTTGCATCATTGTTATCTTCCGGGTGGAAGTAATGTATATGGAACATTTTGACGTTTCTGGCACTTGACACTCAGTATGTTTTTCAGTGTGGTAAAGGGTCGAGGTGGCTGAGCGTGTTACTGATTTCAGACATTCAACCCTACACCCAACTCAGTAATGTCAGTTCGAATAGGGCCAATATATCGCGTTATCGTATGAGAAAGTGTGTACGTTGAGGGTACCATGGCAGCTGTCCTGGCTTTATTTTCCTCCATTGCATACGGCTCGATGTTAAGGTCCATTATCAATACTATTACCATTACCAAATATAAGGTATTTTAAATATATAGTAGGACAACCATTATAAATAACAATCTTTCAAAGGCATATTAGAAGCACAGGTTATAGATAAGACAATTTATAGATAGATACTTCTAGAATATTTATTACTTTAACGTTTCAATGTGGTTCTCACACTGTCATCAGAAATATATTATTATATTCCTGATGACGGTTTGAGAACCACATTGAAACGTTGAATTAATAAATATTCTAGAGTATCTATCCATAAAATTGTCTTATTTATTTAATTATAAAGAACGTTAACCTTGAACTATTTAATATACATCAAGTATGATTATATAACGTGACTTCAAGTAGGATACCCTTCGACAAATTATAGTATAGCTCGAATTGACGAACGGAGGGTTCAATTTTGGCGTTCCTCATAAAGAGTCTGCGTTCGGGTTTAATCATTTCATGCTTTGATTGATTGAATGTTCTTCCTTCCAAAGATCCAAAGATTGTATCAGTATTTCTTTTATTTTATCATTAAATACTAATTCACTTAAAATTGATATTCCTTTTTGAAAAGTTCATAAGCTGCTACAAATGTATTGTATTTTTTTTTTTATTTCGAGTTTCGTTTTGCGGATTTTATCAGACCAATTACACCCCAGCTTGAAATAAATATGATGCGCAGATAAAGTATCTGTGTAACTATTTATCTTATCTCAAAATATATTAAGTATGTTGAAATGAGCGGTAGGAGTCTGTTGTAGAGGAATGCTTGACTTATTTGTTTGTTTTTGTTTCTGAAGCGTGTACAAGGACTGTTTGGTACAAGGACTGTTTTAGTAGAACAATGGCGATAACTTACTTCAGTGATACCTCAAATCTACAAGCCAGTTTAGCAACATTCGTGGTGACGTTAATTGGAGCTAAAATTGTGCTACATCTAATCCAGAAGGATAATGCTCCACCAGGACCACAAGGGCTTCCTCTGTTAGGATACCTGCCATTCTTTGGAGAATTTCCGTACAAGACCTTCAAGAAACTTCGACGTCAATATGGTGACATATTTTCAGTACAGATGGGGAGTTTTCCAGCAGTCGTTCTGAACGGTAGAGAATTGATAAAAGAAGCCTTGGTGAACCGTGGCGATGATTTTTCGGGAAGACCAAACTTCTACTCCAGCCAAGTCTGCGGACCAGAAGCTTTGTTACTACAGTACAGTGACATCACAGTTCTTCATAGAAAGTTGGCGACTAATTATCTGCAAAAATTTACAGAAGCAAGGCACAATCCGATCGAAGAAATGGTCAACGACGAGGTAAGGATCGCCTCCTCTGAATTTGCTGATACTAATGGGAAGCCTTTTTATCCTCGAGATATTATATTCCAATGTGTTGGTAGCGTGATCTTTCAGATATGTTACGGACGAGATGTCAATATTCGAGAAGAAAATCCAAGCTTTGTCGAATTTACCAAAAGTTCGTCCGATTTTACTCAATTTGTGGCATCAGGAAATCCAGTTGAGGTTATGCCTTATTTGAGGTATGTTATGCCTTGGAAGGTCACCAAATTTAAACAGATCATGAAGAGACTAGTGTCAATTCGTATCAATCAGGTGAAAGAAATTATGAAATCCTATAGACCGGGCCATATGAGACACTTAGCGGACGGTTTGATTTCCGCCTACCAAGAAGAAAAAAACAAACCAGATTCCGTCTTTACCGAACAGAGAGTCTTTAAAACACTGGACGAAATAACCGGAGCTGGTTTTGAATCGATTGCCACAACTCTGACCTGGACAGTTTTAATGCTTGCAGCTCATCCGGAAATTCAAGAAAAGGCACACCAAGAAATCGAGCGAGTTATCGGAAAGCGACAACCAAAGCTTATGGACAAATTTGAACTGAACTATTGTCAAGCTCTAGTCAATGAAGTAATGCGGTTTACAAACATCGTACCGCTAAGTTTTCCACATGCAGCTACCAAGGACACGGAGTTGGCCGGGTACACCATCCGAAAGGGGACTGTGGTTATCCCCAATCTTCACTCAATTAGTCACGATCCGGAATTGTGGGGAGATCCGGATACATTTAGACCAGACCGATACCTGGATAGCAACAGTCTGCTAGATAAGTCGTCTGTGGATAAATTTAGTGTCTTTTCTATTGGACGAAGAAAGTGTTTGGGGGAAACTTTGGCACGTAAAGAACTTTTCTTATTTACTGTCGGCATGCTACAGCATTGTAAATTCACCAAACCGGACCATATCAAGGAATACACGTTCGCAAGTCAGTTGGGTTTGACAGAAGAGCCGAAGCCGTTTGAGGTATGTGTAAGTTTGAGGGACTAATTTAGGTGATAAGAAGAACATTCGTGAAAATGTCATCGCGATTCATCAGTTGAAGTTGTGCTGTATTTTACATCTATGATTTTAACATTAACTCTAAGGTGATACTAATTCGAAATCACAGATGACAGTCATCCGAAAACTTAAACATGGTTAAAGATTGTGAAAACTATCCCGTAATTTATTATCAAAACGTTACGTGGCTAAAAAAATCGTTGTATTGTATTATTCATTTACTTCGTTATAGCGAACTTCTGGACAAATATTACAAATTCTTGCATCTTGGTCAGGCATAAATTTGTCTGATGTTGTTCTATAGAGTAGTGGGTGGACAAAGCAGACCATGCTTACTCTTTTCGAAACACCTGATGGTACTTCTCTTTGGGGGATTCCACTACTACACAACTTTTACGGAATTGCGTTGCTTGTACCCCTTTTTATTGTCAATGTCTATCAAATTTTGACTGGTCATGTCATTTGGTGATCAAAGCAAAACAGAACGGGAAGATGTTGTCGATGTTGCATTCAACGAGACTACAAGCTCAGATTACCAGTGAGATTATGCTTGAATTCTCACTAATGGAATGCCTTATTAAGCTTCCTACTACATACACTCTCCCTTTGACCGGGGGTGATTTGAATTTTCTATATATATATAAATATATAAATACATGTTTTGATGTAGTTTGAAATTTTATGACGCCGAGGTATGGCAGACTATTCAAGGCCCATTTATTATATTGATGTTTATGCCTTCAAGCTTTGAACCAAAGAATATAATAAAGAAATAGCTTTTTTATTTGAAAACCTGATTCTTTGTGAATGAAACTGCGTCTGATCTAATAGTAAGAGGGGTTATTGTCATGTACTTGAACAAAGCTGCAAAGATGTTTTATTTTAATTATATCAGGATTTAGGGCGTGACTCTTCAATAATACAATCGAGTGCAGAAAGGTATACTTGGTTTTAATGAATTTTTCAACAATTTTCCACATTTATGGCTCTCGAGTTCCTAGTCCAGACACTTTATTGATAAGTGATAAGAACAGAGGAGGATGTCTCAAACAAGGCAGAAACTGCAAATTTTCCCTTTTTCAATTCCGCGTCACTTCTAGTCCATCAGAGTACAGATAGGTCGTTATGATTATGTGGTATAAATATCGCAGGTGTGTCGTCAGGCACCTGATACCACTTTTCATTTTGAAATACTTCCTCACTTATGATTAATATACTTCCTCGTGTGAAAAGTTCATTAGCCGATAGCAATGGTTCGCCAATACTTTGTTTGGATTTCGGGTTTCGTTTTGTGATTCGGATCAGTAATATTTGGTTTATTTATTACACACAACATTGTCTTTCAATAATATGTTTATTTTCTTTAGAAATTTTCATCATAAAAATATTTTAAGCTATAGATTTATAATCAATATTGACTTGTCCACCTACTGATTCTTTTTAAAATCAAATTCTAAAACATTGGAGGGTAATTGAAATAAATATTAGTTTTTGAAATCACTAAGACAGATTGATTATAACTATCTATTATCGACAGAGATTCCAACGGTTCTTTGACATTTATTCAGTATTTTACAATAATCTTATCTAACATGGAATCGTTATGATCGACAAGATATCATCCTAAAATAGTAACGGTTGTCTGAAAATAGCCAGTGACGCTGTCAACACTAGTATTTTTTTATCCTTGGTACGTTTCATCCTCATTGAAGACAATTACGATTTTCAATTTTACTGTTACTAGTGACATGATGTCACCGAAATGCTGTATAAAACTAAAAAAAAAAAAGTACTAACGATCCGAAACGCGAAACGAAACCTAAAGCAGCTATTAAACTGTTCATATGAGGAAGTATATCATAATCAAGGAAGTATTTAAAAACTGGTTAGATCCGATGTTCGATGGGGAAAACGCTGTATATATGTCGGAATCACAATGTTTCTGATCCAGCAAATAACGATGAATATCTTCATGCTTTTTTATCAGCATGCCAGGATTAACAAACAGAAGTACAATCAGGTATTACCAAAATATCTTTCAGCTGAAGTCATCTAAAAAAACATTTTGACGAAACATTGGTAGCGGCTAATGAACTTTTCACATAAGGAAGTATATCAACCATAAGTGAGTAAGTGTTTCATAATGAAAAGTAAAGCGGGCTGAAGTTACTGGCCATCTTAAGTGGGACAAACATATTAATTACCAAATGAACACGGTGTTATTTCCCTCGCCTTCAGCACTGAGTGTTAAGCCACTTATTTTATGAATGAACATCGTATAATCCTATCAATGGAAGAATTAAGGGTGATATCGATGTGGCTGTCTGGTACGACAAGGAGAACTGAGAAACAACATACTTATTCTGATTAAATCTTATCTTCACCTTCAGCACTCAATCAATTATCCACTGCCATTGATCACCAGTCTGCCGGAGTCCACGTGGAACCTTCTCTGTTAATTTGTGTCAAATAAAAACCGCAAAGGGCAAAGATGAGTAAGAGAAGTTAATAGGTGTCAAATGAAATATGACAGAGGTTTGCAAAGACGAGATACTGGTGTCCGTTTTTATGTACGATAGTCGATACATTAGAAAATTAAAACTTCGTGTTTTAGCGTTGAACCCTTTCTGTGTTAATATGGGTTTAATGAAAACTGTAAAGATACGAGTATCAGGGACACTGATAACATCAATTTACACCATTTCAATTTTCAATCAGACGTCTGTGGTTTCTGTAATTCCACTAAACCAAAATAGTTGATGACGCAACAAATCGCAAAATATGCTTACTCACATAAAACCCTTCGCGATTATGTTAATATAATATTATAAGGCAATAAATAAATAAAATCAGTTACTTTATACATGGTGAATTTTAAAATAAAATAAACAGACAAGTTAAACTCACCAGCCTTATAATTATTATTACATTTCCTAATCAGAGGGAGACCAATAGAACAGCCTATTATTACATCCCACAATCAGAGGATTAACAATAGTTCAGCCTATTATAAATTTAAAAAACCGCTTTACAATACCTTTAATACATTTATTATAATTTAGAAGAACTGGATGGCTAAATCAGTAAAACCATTTAAGTAGTGTTCGTGAATTGTTTATAATCAATGAATTATACTCGGTAAGAATCTTGCGTGATTTACTGCAAATTCTGCAATTTTGTTACATAAAAAATATCAATGAACTAACTGAATGAATTTCCATTAAACCTGAAAGAAACAAATTTTGAGTTGGAAATTAAATTAAAAGGAAGTAAGAAGGCTGTAAACCTATCAGTTTACTCCTTCCAGAGTTCCAAACAAGATCAGAGTGTCACGAGGACTTCAAGGTTCTCTGGTTTCACGTAATGGAAAAATAATGGACTGGTAGACCAAAGGCGATTTGTTCCTTCAGCTAGCTGCGATACTATTAATATTGCAAATATAAGACTGATAACTGTCTTCAGGGTATAATATTTTGGTGTCATTATTTCCGACGGAGGAAGACTGGTACAATTCCGGAATCTATGATATCAAAGGATAGTTATATTGAGTAATACTGAATCGTGAACTGCGTGCATCCGATATAAATTCCCATAAGTTCGAGTGATGATAAGGTCAGGATATGAATCCCTTATAAAGTTAAATGAGATAGTCATACGATGGCTAATGGTGTCTGACAGATATTCACATACAGTACCAGTGTTATTGAAATGGTTCATTCTTGGATTGTGTCCCTTTGCACTGTATGTAAAACTGATCATTCACGTGACTCATTTTTCTAACCACAACATCTAAATGAGTTGTGGTAGATGAGGAGGGTGTTAGTAGAAATTTTAGTACGTAGCCATTTGCTGTATATATGTCGAATTGATAATGTTCCTTGCGTACCACACGTTGTCTTATCGAGCTAATATCTTAATAACGTTGAATATCGGGTTAGTGTTTTCCTCTCATATTTATTACTGGATGCTTTTTCCTCCCCTGTCTCTATTTATACACAGTCACGTAGACAGCCGCGAACCACCAGGCTTTGCCTCCTGTCGGTCGAACGGTAAATGGGACGATTCTGCACTCCTTCATCTATATATACCCAACCCAATACGGGTGCCATTGAGACTTGAACCTATTTCGCTTATTACGTCCTGTTTGATTACGAAACACAGAGACGAAGCAATACCATCAACCAATCTGAAATCTTGGTACTTTGAATTTAAAAATACTTGCAAGCAATGATGCTGTTGACTAAAGCGCCATTATTTCATTATTTAGGAAGCATATAGCCAATATACATGTTATGGAGACTTGGACCTCGTTAGCTCACACTTCTCTTTTTACGTCTGGTTTGATTAGGAACACACAGACTAGATTAGTCATATCAAGTATCTTCTGGTACTCAAACCTCACAAAGTATCTTATAAAGCAATTTCCATGAATTAGTGTAGTTATTAGTGTACTGTATTTACCATTCTGAAGTAGCACTAACAATCCAATCAATCTACCCATTGTAGGACAATCCACTTCGCTTCTCTTCTAATGCCATTCAATTACACTTAATTAATCATCTAAAGCTAAATAAACCAACTTCTTAACACTTCTAGTGTTTCTTGTCGCATTTTCTTTTAATGTGGTAAACCAGGCTGCAAACTAGGTCATTCAAACCCTAGACATCTAGAGCAGCGAGTTAGGCGATCGTGAATGCTACTCCCTCGGGTACATTGGTAATGAAAGCCTGTTCTATTCCCGAGGGGATTTAATGATTTTAAGGTAGTCCATTCAATAAAAAATAATAAATGTTATTTGTATTTCCAAGCTTACTGTAATTTAACACCAACACAATTGTAAAATTAATTTTTGAATCAACCTGTAACCGGGTTTGCCAACTCGGCTTAAGGAGAGCCGACATAGCCATTACTGTCACGATTTATGTATCTTCATTGATTCATTTGTATAATTTTATTGATAACATCAAATTAACAGGAACTGGAAAATACTACCATGGTATCAGAACCAGGGTAAGAATGTTGACCAAAACAATGTCCGAGTGATATGAAGCGTGTAAACTGGAGGTAATCGGATAGAAAAACTAGGTCATGATTGACCTGGATATACAATTTATATTAATTTGGTAATGAGGTCCGAATTTAGACTCCATAGACATAATATATTTTACCAGGAAGAAAACTGCAGTAGAATGTAAGACTTCTATTGTTCTTCGATTTAACAAAGACCGGATTTCAAACGTGGAAAGTTTAAAAGGTCCCATCTAATTATTCTAATATCCGCCTTCTCATCTGAAATCCGGCTCGCACAGAATTCAATTTCACTTAATTCTAGACATTCTTTGATGCTTTTGAAGGTGAAGCGCACAATTCTTAACAAGATACATCATCATGTCTATTCTGTGGTTAATTCGTCCATTAACATCTACAATCAAATTTGCAGAAGATGAAAATCTCCAATGAAAAGCTCACAATAAGATCAAGAATCAGTACATCAATGGAAAATTTTGACGAAAGAATTATAATTGAATGATAAGATAGACAGCACCATGAATCATAGACACCGAAGATTTTATAGAAGACTCTTGTTGACAGATTCGAAAAAATCGAAACCAGACGCTAAAGACACTGTTCTGAGAAACGTTTCCAAGTTAAAACCTCTTTAACACATGTTATTAGCAATGTTACTTGTGGGCTCTGAACTGTGTGGTTTGAATTCAAATATAAACGGAAGGCTCGGAAGTGACTAATTGGAAAAAAGACTGAACGGATAACAGAATACGGAATATGCTGTTGTGTACTGCATTCAACACCACTTCCGAAGTTTAGGTGAAGACGTGGGTGTTTCAAGAACTGCAAGTTAAATCTAGTTTTGAACGGAAATTAAAACGGCTGCATCAAGAGCTAACTCTACTCTGTCAGGATAAGAGCAATTCAGTCATTCAAATTGAAAATAGTTTTAAAACATGTAAAAGTTAAAATCAATGTCAGGTTTGACATCCGGTTTTGATAACTGTTAGTGCAAACACCTGCCATCTATAACACATATACAACCATCTGCCATCTATAACACATGTACAACCACCTGTCACCTATAACACATATACAACCACTTGCCATCTATAACACATATACAACCACCTGTCATCTATAACACATATACAACCACCTGCCATCTATAACACATGTACAACCATCAGTCTAAAATTCTAAGATAGTGGAATCCAAGAATTTACAATGTAAGGAAAGGTCATACTTTCCAAGCAAAATCTAATTAGGTGGATAAATATATATGAAATAAAAAACAGTCTGAACAATAATAACAATTACACTTTATAGATTCTTCAGTTACTAGAAAGTCATTTAAAGGTCCGTGGGCGACAGGACGAAAATTGCAACACGCTTACATTACTAGCACTAATTATAATGATTCGATAATGGTAGAAACAACTGTCAAAAAGGCGTGTCGTTGCAAAAATAAATCGCACAATGGACAAGGACGTACATTACGTCGTGCCTATCTATAACGTCTGTCACAATATCTGTTAACGGAGAACAGAAAGCCAACAACTAAAAGCTTGGAGATTAATATAACGTATAGGACAAAAGATTAAAACTAGATTTGAATGAGTTACACAGACAAGGCGGTAATACATGTGTCTATCTACTGCATCAAGCGAATGATGGTTGTTGAGGGGATTTAGAATATGAAGAGACTGTAAACAGGACGTAGAGTAAAATTTGTCGGTTTAATTGATGCTCTGAAAAGGTACGAAGTTATTCCTGAATTTAAAAGCACCTTCGGTATAATTTACACAAAATGCTGATGTGCAGATGTTAACGGAATTGTGCTTGTACAGATTGTTTGATTTTGTTATTTTCTCATCTGTATGAGATGGACAGATTATGTCGCTTTGATCAAGTACATAACCACAATTTGTACAGACACCTGCATCATGAATATATTGGGGGAGGTCTTATATTCTTTTATATAAAGGGGGGAGGGGATATTCAAGATTGATCCAATAAGGGACATCTGAACTTTATTCAATAAAATGTTCAACAAGCTACCGTAACAGCATTTTACACTTTGAAATATATTTTCAATAATTTTTCCCGCGAAACAAATGTGTGTCGTTTAGTGGTAAATCGATACAACCCGGCATTAAATAGATTTGATGCAACACAAAACCTATCCATCAGAATGTCGTTATTTAAGACTAGTTAATAGTTCTATTTTTTTCCTATCATCAGGAGTTGAAGAGGTAATGTCTACAGTCTAAATGCAATATCGATTTCAACGACGAAATACTGATTACCACTCAACGCGATCTATTTCTTACATAAAACCTCATTTTGGTGGTTGAGCGCTTGGCATTAAAAGATTGCATTTTGAATGAATAAAAAAAAAATGATTCATTTAACAGTGGCGGCAACTCACCGGCAAATCCTAATGTCTCTTTATCACTTCTGATATATATGTATAGCTCAATGTCCCTTGAAAATGCTAACAAATTACCTAAACCCCGTGACCACTTGTTGAATTATAGTGCAAAAGTTATTGATCTTGGCGAGAATCAATCCAATTAAAATCTAATTTCAATGTCGTTTCGTCATTATTTTTTTTCTTTATGCTCTCCATTGTAAGCTAACAAGATTTATTCCGAGGTCGTGTACTGGTTACGCTTCCAGCTATTTATAGGACCATCACCACGCGACAGTCAGAATCACTTTTGGGTATGGGCAGTCCCATAATTTCGGAAGTCATGATTTGTTCGATCTACTTTGAATTTCGCTATGCCACAATTCGTACTGGATATTTAGACACGGATTCTGCATGACACACTGTGATTGGTTGAAATAAACGTCAGCAGTACGCGGCCTTGATATAAATCTCGTAAGATTACCATGGAGACAGCAAAAAAAAAAAAAAAATAGCGAAACGATTATCGTAAAAATTTCCAGCATTATTTAAAAAAAACCTTTTGACCTACTAGACTTTTCATCGCCAGCTAAAGGTCGTGTCTTAGTAAAACCACTGTTTCATGTCTCATAATTAATTGTCAAGAAAGTGTGATAGTCTCGTCTTACATCTGATAATAATCATCATTATACAAAATCATTGAAATGTGTGTCTTATAATTCATACATTTCAGACCATTGACGACAGACTACCAGCAATTTGTTATTAGGAAATGAACTACATGTTTTACAAAAATCTGTAAAAACAAGACAATTCTGTCAATCAAAAATCTCTTCCAAACTGCTCAAAAGAGAAGTACCATGTAGCACATGTAATACAAATAAGGGATGATGGTTAACATGCTTCCTTGTTTGGCATCATGTGAAAGGGTTCATAAATCTGCAATATGTGTTCCACAGACATGCGCTTTCCACTAAAAGATAACTGCCAGACAAGGTAATATGCGCCCACTGACAGCTTTCATTTAAAATAAATATATACATTTGGCAGTACAGTAATAATCACTAGTATGATGTATTCTACCTTCAGTCATACACTTCTTTCGATCTTTTTGGGATGGTAACAAACTTTTCAAAAATTGTGCCTTCTAGGATGTTTAAAAGCTAAAAATTAAACGCATTTTTAAGAACAGACGGATTAATCACATACAAAATTTTTCGATTTTTCTGATTTTCAATGGGGTTCATCCTTAGGTTACAAACACTCACATCAAGTTTCATCAAATCTGTCAAGGAATTGTGCTTTCTAGAGTGTTTACAAGCAATGTGGAAGGACGGATGAACCGACATTGGTGACGCCAAATATGGAAAGGAAGTAGCAATAAAGTCACACATACTGAACAGTTAACAAACGACAGGAAATTCCAACATGAATCATTAGATTTAGAATAATAACATATTCACACATCATTACACTAGTCAATTTAATATAAAAATTAGGAAAAATTCGACACCTCACTGTCTTCTTAATCATGTATTTAGATCAACATTGTGCACAGCTAATTGCATGGAACAGTCAAGAGTAAAATGAGGGCGGTGAGGACATGCCCTTCACGGCTGATGCCAGATGAATAACCTAGAGATCATAATCGTGCTAAAGGTACTACAAAATACGACAAGTTCAAGGAATACTTGTTGTGTTAAAGAAATATAGTATTTCGAGGGAAAACAAGAGAGGCCATTCATTGAAAGCACAATTTACTTATATACTTTAATGACTTTTCATCATCTACATCTGTCATGTAGGTTCACAAGTTGATCTGGTACAAAGATTACAGTTGCAGTTCTTATGTCTGTGATACAATAAATGCTTGTACTTGATGTACGTATCTTAAGGAACTACTAGAGAATCCATTTATCAAACGACAATTTGCTTATATTCATAAACGACCTGAATTTATGAATGGGACTGTTCACTTTGAGAATCTTCAGATGTGGACGAAAACAGCAAAGATAAAAATGCAAGCCATGGTATGTAAGAATACAAGATGATCTGGTACAAAGACAATAATAACACTTAAGTTGCAGTTTTTATGTCTATGATTCATTAAATGAGTACATGCACTGGTTGGTGGTGAAAGTTTATTTCCATCCGATCGAGATTTCCATCTTAAACTTAAGAACTTTTCAGCCAAACTTGTACAATATACCAACTACTAGAAAGTTCATTCATAGAATAACAATTTTCTTCTATTCATAAATGTCGTGGCACTA